TATCCATAGGTTTTTTTGGGGGGGTGTTCAGTTACACAAGAGAGGAAACCTCTAATTTTCTGCCTGAGAGGTTCTTGGAGCTGGGCAGAAGAATAGAGTCGGACTTCACTATCTAAAATTGTAGTATTTCACTTAACTCCTTGTCAGAATGGTACCTCCCTTCAGTTCTCAGCTCAAGCCGGGCCTCCTGCCTTTCTTCTGCAGTTTTTTCAGAAAGAAAAGTCTAGCTTCTGATGGGTGGGAGAGAGATGTCCCTGGCTATTTGGGGCTGAGGAGAGAGATCTAGGAATCTACTTGCTCCCCAAACTGAATTTCAACAGAAACTTCTTTACAGCCCCAACTTTACTCTCACTTTCAGAGGTACTGGATGTCTTTAATTCCCGGGACCTTTTGAGATTCTATAGCAAGAACTGTCCAATTTTCCACCATATAGGTAGTCTTTTTGCTTGATTGAGTCATTTATGACTTGTCCATGTGCTTTCGATCTTCCAAATGTTTGTTGATATCTTGTTTCTGTCATCATCGATTCTCTTTGTCCTTTGGGGTCTCTATATTATTTTATCATTTTCAGTGGCATTTCAGGAGGAAGCAGAGATCGAATATGTATCTAATCTACACTGTTTAACTGGAAGCCTTAACTTTGATTTTTACTACTTGCTCTTTAAAAACATGTTTAAATTAGTAAGCATATTGAGATTCTGATAATTAATTTGTATTTTTTCAACACAATAAGTTATGGGGAAACAAACAAAACAACTACTTTTCCTTCTCCTTCCACTCATCTGAGTTTGTCCTAAACGGATAAAAGATGAACAGACATTCAATAAGAGTTTTTCAACAGGGCAAAATTAATCTGGGCTGATTGCACCAAAATTTTCTGATATAGGCAACTATAGAAACTCAAAGAAAACAAAATCAGGTAACAGAGCTAATAATATTGACTCATAGTACCCCAAGCGTACTTTTGCTTACATCTGACTTATCCACCACTACTCACCATAAATTCCATGGAAAATAGCACACTTTATTACACTTCAAAACTTTATTGTCCTCACCTCTTGTCCAGTCTATTGTAGTGTTATTTCTTCAGGTCATAAACAAGTGATTATCCTACTTACTTGAATTTTTATCTCTGCTCACTTTGATACTTTTAGTGTTAAGAAGAACTGTTGTCTTTTCAACTACATAATGTTTTATATGAATTCAAGACTGCATGTTAGTGGAAGTGCAAGACTTCAATATTAGTAGAAGCACAGAATTCTCAGTAAAGAAAGTAAAAGAAAGTATTAGTAGTCATAATAACTAGTAGCCACAATGAAGATGATAATCAAATGTTAAACCCACCAAAGTGGATTTTTACAGTTAACATCTGTGGGTGTCAAAATCTTGATTGCAAATGTCAGTTCTTTCCGTGGTTAGTGACATCAATTATTTGGAAACAAGGTGCAGGAGCACGCAGATGCTTGTTTCAACAAGTAAACGCAGTGTGGCATGCGGTAGGTAGGTCTCACTTTGCAAATATTACATGCTCTTCAGAAGGCAGACAGACAGCAAGTTTCGACTTGAGGATAGCACAGGTCAAGGAGGCGAAGGAGAAAGGTTTTGGGTTCTTTTCCTTGCCCAGAGAAATAATTGCCCCACTTATCTACAAGGAAAAAAATGTATATTAGTCCAGGGATTCAGCATTTTATTATCAGTTTTATTCAATACCTAAAATGTGCATAGTATAAATTCTCCGTTGATCTCTTCTGCTTTCAAGGGTTTGTTCGCCACCTATTTATGATGACATTCAACTATGCCAATATTTACTGACATTTCTTTTGAATTTATAACATAGTCCAAAGAATTGTGCTGTGCTGTCTCAAACTCAACAAATCCAAAATTAATCAAATTATCTACCTATCAGGTCTAATGTTTTTCCTAAATCCCTTAACTTGATTAATTGTCTCACCATCTAATCAGGCATCTAAACTAAAAACTTTAATGATATTCCGCTACCAAGCACAGTCATTGCACCAGCACCAATAAATGTTTCTCAAATAAATGGATAGATAGGCTTTCAATGCTTTCTATTCCCGTCCTGCTGATGATCAAATTCTGTTCACCCTCCTTCAAATCCCCTCTCAAGACATCCCTTCCCTTGATGCGCTATTGCTGCTCCAATCCAGGCCCTCACACCTCCTAACGCTTGTGTCTCTACTGTTTAAGGCGGCTGTATCCATACAGCACAGATTTGGTCATATTTTAACTTGGTTCAAAAATATTTAATTTCTCCCTTTTGTCTGCAAAACAAAACTCCAATTTCTCCTCCTGACTCTCCACAATTATTAGACTCTTCTCTTGCTCCTTCCCCTGACTCATTAACTGAACCATCCTCTAAAGCCATACTTTCTGGCTTTTGTTTTTGGTGTTTTTTTTGGTGAGGAAAATTGGCCCTGAGCTAACATCTGTTGCCAATCTTCCTCTTTTTTTTTTTTTAACTTGAGGAAGATTGTCCCTGAGCTAACACCTGTGCCAATCTTCCTCTATTTTGTATATGGGACGCCACTACTGCATGACTTGATGAGTGGCTTGTAGATCTGCACCCAGGATCTGAACCCACATACCCCAGGCCATGCGAACTTAACCACTACACCGCTGGGATGCTTTCCCATTTTTGATTCCACTGTGTCATTTCATAGCTCCATGTCTTTGATCATATTATATCCTATGCTCGCCTGTTCCTTTCCTCTATTGTCTACCCTGCTCAAATCCTGATCATCCTTTTTTCCATGTTTGAATTGTTCCTAACTCAAACAACTCCCAGGCCTCTAATCAGAATTAATTTTTTACTCCTCAAAACTTTCATAATACTTTATTCATACTTCTACTATAGTTTTCAACACAGTTGAAGCTGTATTTTATAATCCATTCATGTGTCTGCCTCTCTCTGAAGTCCTAAAAGGCCCTGTTCCCAGCACCTAGATAATACCTGGCCCACAGTAAATGCTATAGAAAGTTTTCAGAATCAGCACTGAATTAAAGCCATATATACATTATTATTGAGAATCAAATATATATTTCACAAGTTGAAGGAGAAAGCTAAAATAAAATTGAACCACAATGTCTTTAGTATTGAGAAGAGAGTGAAAAATATTAAAACAATGTCATCCATGATGTGATACGGACTGACATCTCAAAAAAGATCGCCTTTTCAGTGAACAAAAGATCACTAAAAAGTAAGATTTCTACTGGAGAATGAGCCTCCACTCCCACCCCCACCCTAGCCACCACTCCTCAGACAGCTCCTTTCCTTTTCCTTCAGACTCTGGACCACAAGCAGCTTGTGAGGACAGTATTTAGGCCTTGGTATTCATTCCTTATTCTTTATTCACTGGGTTTGTGTTCGCCCATCTCATCTTCCAGGTGTCACGAGTGTAGCTCTTAGAACCCCAGTGCTTAAGATGAGCTAATGCGATGCCTGTGGGAGGGAAGCATTCCGGTTCCCCTTGGAAAGATTTCATGTCATTCCAGTACCTCTGAGAGAACGTGGGCCTGTCTGGAATGTACTGCCCTCTCTCTGGTGCTGTGTTCTCCCTAATTAGAGGAGAGGATTGTAGAGGAGAAAGCAGGCTGTTTTGGGCTCCTCCACACACCCCCAGGATCCCCCACTCCCTGTAACAAGTTCTGTATTGCAATGGCCTTATATACAGTGTGCCAACTGAGGGGCCAGAAATGGTGAGAATTTGCTGTCTGAATTTTAATTATACTTGGCGAAGACTCATTGCTAGTTGAGGGAAAGCTACTCTTCAGGTTAACTTTCATTTAGTGAAGGGGCACTTTATCCAATTAAAGAGAAATTATCTGAGAGTAGAGGCCAAGTACCCATCTCAATCTTACTGCAGACCAGCCACAGAAGAAGGTACTGATTCCACTTACCCAACGAATGGTAACAGACTCTTCTCCAGCAAAGCAGTTGATTTTTAACTCTTTATTATAAAAAAATTATAAATATATACTAATTAGAATTGTAAAGATCCCACACGTAATCATTTTCAGCTTCAACAACTATTAACAATTATTATCCACCATTCCCACACTCCCACATTGTTTTGAAGCAATTCAGACATCATATTATTGCATTCATAAGTTTTGCTTTTTTTTTTTTGAGGAAGATTAGCCCTGAGCTAACTACTGCCAGTCCTCCTCTTTTTGCTGAGGAAGCCTGGCCCTGAGCTAACATCCGTGCCCATCTTCCTCTACTTTATATGTGGGATGCCTACCACAGCATGGTGTGCCAAGCAGTGCCATGTCCACACCCGGCATCTGAACCGGCAAACCCCAGGCCGCCAAGAAGCGGAACGTGCACACTTAACCACTGCGCCACCAGGCCGGCCCCTGCATTCATAAGTATTTTTAAGTATCACATAGGAATCTTACTGGCAATATTGTTGAAACACTTTACCTTTGATTAATAAACTCATTCTACCACAGAATTCATATTTTGTTGCCTTGAAACAAGCATAAATGGGGAGTCCATAGTATATTGAATGTGTAAAACTTCCACAGAGAGTTGGATTGTGTAAGCTGGCTCTGTCCCTGTGATTAATCTCTTCTGTACACAATGGCATCCAGGGTGCAGGAACGCCCCTCCCTTGGTCACCTAGTAACTTTTCACTGGTCAACAACAAGCTGAATAAACTATTATGTTGCGGAAAAGTGCTTGGCTAGCCGACTTGGATTATCTCCTAGATTTTAAGAGAAATAACCATCGCCAAGTTTGAATTTGCTAAACCTTTGGGCTTTGCTGGCAGGAAAAAAGCATTCCACTTTTGGAGCATAAAATGGATACAGAAGACATGGGCTCAGGTAAACTAGGCCAAATATTGAAGCAGATTTGGAGACAAAACCTGATGCTAAGGCAGGCGCTCCAGGGCGATGACCATTGGGGAGGGGCTAGTGGGGCCACTTGGATAGCCACAGTGGTCTTTCTGGGTCAAGAGCTCAGTGGAGCCCTTCACCAGCTCTTGGAACACACTGCTGGGACCCTGCGCTCCACCTGCCAGCAACTGTATATACTGCTTGACAAGGAGAATCACTGTTTCTGGAGACAAGGCAAGTATTTCTTTCATTTATTCTTTCTCTAAGAAATATTGATTGGGGCCACTCTGAGAGGAGTTAAGGAGCATACAAAGAAGGCTAAGATATAGTCTCCGCCCAAAAAGGACTAACAATTTAATAGGGGAAAGAAGATAAGACAAATGCACAATAAGGGAAGGGACATTGAGGCCACTTCCATTACAGACTTACAAATGAAGTGTGTTAAGACTTCATAAGCAGGCAAGATCCCATATTTAGAGCAGGGAATTGGGCATTTTGCTAGAACAAATGTGGTATTTAAACTGAAGCTTAAGGAACGAATTGGATTTATGCAGCTGGAACTTGGGAATCTTGAAAGAACATTCCAGGCAGAGATATTATTAGCAGGATCCAAGACTTAGAGGTAGGAAAATATAGGCCAAGTCTGAGGCAGAGCAAGTAGTTTTTCTATATTGGAATATGATGTTCTCTTTTTAGACTTATTTGAGCTTGACTCTATTAGTTGCAAAAACACTGGGAAGACTGGGGTGAGCTAGGATATGGAATTGGACCCTCTGACACACACTAGGAAGGGTGCAGTTTTTTGGGAGTAGTTATAGATGCTGAGAGGTCAGAAAAAAGGAAGAACATGGTATCTGATGAATATGATCCAAGACAACAGGTCTCTGAGATCTCTTGTTACGCTAGACAAGAAATTGGGGGGCATGATGAAATCCAACTCAATAATACAGCATCAAGGCAAGTGGGCAGGTCTCACCAATCAGGAATCCAGGGCACAAAATGTTAAGAAATTCAGTCTAGAGGGCAGATACTGGGCTTAGGGGAAGTCTGTCCAAAGGCAGCAAGACCCAGAGACCATCAGCTGGAGCTCATAGCCAGGACTCAAGACTCTGGAGAGAATTGAGTGTGGTCCTAGGCAGCATATCAAGACGAATACTTATTCATGAAAATGATAAGGACTCAGCTACCAGAACAGGAGTTTGAAATAAAGACAGGGTCTCAGGTACAAGATAAAAGAACAAATTGTCAGAACTAGAGCCCGAAGGTAAGCCCAGATTAGTGAAAGGATGATTTAGTGATGATTCTGAAAACACTGAGTTATGGAGCCTTAACTTACATATTCTTTAGCTCAGAATTGAATTCTAAAGATTGGAAAGTTACTAAGTCTGCAAGAAGCCATCAGGTGACCCCAGCTGTGAGGAGAGGAGGGACGAACAAATAAGAGAATGGTAAGAAATGAGGATGGAGTGAGAGATGATATCACATCAGATCATGGTGAGGGTTTACACCAGAGAGAAGAGGCTTGACTTGGTTATCAGTCTTTGATAAGCCACTGCAGGTTCTAATCGGAGAATTGGTACAATTAGAGCTATTCTTTGAAAGACTAATTTGAAGATTGCCAATGATCACCAGCTCAGCAGGAGGAATAGTGTACACCTAATCCAATTATCATGGCAAACAAAGCACACAGTAAAATAACAGCACCTGCATCCACAGAAATAATGTGGCTATGGTATGCCTGCTACCCAAGTTTCATCTGGAATGTTCTGCTTAATTTTAGGCAAATAATTATAAGTGGATCATTAATAAACTATATAGTAAATTCAAAGGAAAGGGAACAATTCTCGTAACCATACCAAATGAGGAACGATTGAGGGAGATATTGACTTCAATTGAACAGAGTCTTGGGGTGGGGGCGGGGGAGCACGGTCATGATATGTCTGCAAGTATTCAAAGTGTTTTCAAGATGGATTAGAGGTACTCTTTGCCGTTACATTAAAAGGCAATTTGTCCCCAATTCCTGGATGTGTTAAAAGAGTGACAGTTGTACAAATAATTTCTCCTTCAGGAGAGAGAGAGACTTAAATGCCTGGTGAGGGTCTTTGTAGGTTTCTAAAATAATCTTGTCATACCTCATTACATGTTAGTGGAGAAACATAGTTTGCTTTAGTTTTGAATTTATTCTTTTCATGTGTCCGTGTGTGTATGTGTGTAGAAATCATTACTTTCATAGACTGCCTCATGAAAATAAATGAATATCTGGGGAGCACTGTTACGCTTCTAAAGAGAGAAGAAAAGGAGATGTGTAATTTATGTGGCATGCGTGATGAATGTGATCCACTGCAGACAATGCCTGCCATTCAAGATATCAAAGCAACAGACATTGCTGCAAGAGAGGAACAAAATGTCATAGAAACAGCTACTGTTTCTCCTGCAGATGGAGAAGAAAGTCATTACACAAACCAGGTCCAGTTAAAACAAAATAAAACACATATGAGTTCAGAAATAGTGGAAAAAGAAAACAAGACATCATTGAATGGAGATGGAACGGGGCAAGAAGAGTCACAGAACAAAATGTTCCCAGATAATCCAGAAGTTGAAGATAATAAACAAAAAGAACACATGACTGTTGAGAACATAAATGGCAGCAGGGAAGAGATGCATGACGTAATCCAGACAACAGAAAGAGAAATTCAAGGGACCTCAGAAAGTCAAAGAGAAGAGATTACCACATCCTCAGTAACATGTGATATCTCCAATGAATATGTGAATAATGTTCTTCCCAATGATTCAGAGAGTCTAAAGCAAAAGAATAACATAATGGAAAAGGAGTAAGTAAATGCAATGTGAGAGATCTTGTATATGCTTACTTATATGTGTGTTTCTATAGTTAGTATCCATAGTATTTATACATGAATAAAATTTTATATTTCCATTTCAGATCCCAAAAAGGTACTGTAAATCAATAATTCAGTTTAAATCACTTCCATAACAATTTATATGGCTGCTATTACTAATATTATTTATTTCTTATAGCTTTAGGAAACAAGCATTAAAGGTGTCTTTAAAGGAAGAAGAAATTGACTATATAATAAATTATAATTTTTATTATAATTATTTATATTTTTATTATAATTTATTATTTATATAATAAAATGGTTAAAATGAATGATTGTCCAGAACATGGACTCCTTTCTAAATCGCTGCTCTTTCTATTATAATAAGTACCAGCTAAGAAGCTGCGGAGTGTTCAAATATTAGGAGAGAATTTTCTAGCCCCAGATTTATTTTATTTATATCCTGAAATAAATTGTCAGACTTGTTTTATTTATAAATCGTTATGAATTCTTACCCTGTGTCTATAGAACTCTAGGGGGCTCATGAATAAGCTTTGGGAAGTTCTTAAAATTGAATGTATATTTTCATACCTATTTTATCTTTATGGAGATAAAACAGAGCCTTAATCAGATTCTCAAAGAGCCCATGACTTCAAAAAAAATGTTAACGTTGACTGATCTATTTTATGAATTATCTCCCCATAGAAGGGAGTAATAATCCCTATTTGTCCAAATAAAATAAAATATTCACAAACCATATTTTCCCAGCAAACTTAACACCTTTAGAAGGCAATGAGGAATAACGAAAAAAAAAACCACTGGTTTGGGAGTCAGACAGCCTTAAATTTTATCTCCTCTTTTATTACTCCTAGTTCTGTGACCCTGGGCATCTTGCTTTATTTCTTAGCCCCATTTTCTTCTTTGTAGAAATCATATATACTTCCTGGGCTCATTTGGTAAGGTGAAATGAGAAAATGAGGTAAAGGGTCTAGCACTGTGCCATTTTGCCGATGTTCACGCTCAGCTCAATGTTTGCATGTCAATTTATTTCACTCCCAACAACCCTCACTTTCTCTAGCTCCCACACACTACCAACGTTCAGTTATCCCCACCCTGCCATGATGTGTGATGCTCTTTCAGATGTACTATACCATTTCCAGGACAACACAACAACTGAGTCTCTGAGCTCAAGCAAGCCATTTTGCTCATTTTGACTTTAGTTATCTCATCTGTAAAATGAAGAGGTTGGGCTAGTTTAGCTGTGATGTCCCTACAGGTCTGAGAATCTAATGAATTCTATAGATGTCATAGCAGTACATTTATGGTTTGAAAGACTTACTGCCCCTGCAAAACAACTATTAAAGTAGTCAGTGTGTGGTTGCCCACTGCACTTGAGAAAAACATCAACACTTCATATCCTCCCATTCAGAAATGACTCAAAGCATCAACAAATGAGTCATTGCTGAACCACTCCCTCTAACATCTCTTTAGGTGTTCCCTAGTTAGTGATTTCCTCTTTGTGGCATCCAAACCAATTCTGCTTGGCTTGCATATTTAAGGAGATGACTATTCATTTCAATCCCTCAGGCTAGGAAGCCATCATGCCACATAAAAGATGTGTGTTATAAACAAAACCGAGCTCAGAATCTGTTGTGATTCCTCCCTGGATACGTTTTTGTTTTTTGTTTTTGTTTTATTTTTTAGATTTTATTTTTTCCCTTTTTCTCCCCAAAGCCCCCCGGTACATAGTTGTATATTCTTTGTTGTGGGTCCTTCTAGTTGTGGCATGTGGGACGCTGCCTCAGCGTGGTCTGATGAGCAGTGCCATGTCCGCGCCCAGGATTCGAACCAACGAAACACTGGGCCGCCTGCAGCGGAGCGCGCGAACTTAACCACTCGGCCACGGGGCCAGCCCCGTCCCTGGATACGTTTTTGAAAAAAGCCTATCTCTTCTAGTGTAGTCATCCTAATAGGTACAGACTCAAAGGGAAAGAAAACTAGAATAAACCAATGTGATAATTTCAGCAGCTGGACTAGATCTATATGATTAGGGCTAGAGGCAATGGAAGCATTTACAGATCTCCTCGCTCTACCTCATACATCAGTCTTTTGGAAGAAGAGTGTATTGAGATGGTTTCCAGGGCACAGAACAGAGTCATTTTTGAAGTCATACGAGACTGGGTCACTGTATCTTCTATTAAGCAACGTTCCTCATTTCCTGTCACTATCATGAGAGAATACTCAAATAGACCAACGTACTGGGTAATTTTCTATTCCTTCTAACTTTATGGGTTCAGAATTGTAAATATAAATAAATAACCCTCTCTACAATTCAACATTTTTTTTTAGATTTCTGTGTTAAAGAGCACTGTACAATTCAATTTACTAATAATTTAAAAATAGTTAAACCTGATTATTCTAGAACTGGTTATTAATGCTGTATTTGCTATAGAAGCTCTTATTTCTCTTTGATGTGGCTTATATTTCAGTCATTCCGTTGGTATGAAATGAGAAGTAGTAAAAGAGGAGAAACTCAAGCTGGTAATTTTAATATAGAGATCTAACATTTATTGAGCCCCCATTTTATGCTAAACCACTATTATTAAAAGCTTAACTATTTTATCTCATTCAATCTTCACACCATTGTGGAATAGGTATTATTTTCAGTTTGTAATGGATAAAAACCAGTTCTGGGGCCGGCCTGGTGGCACAGCGGTTAAGTGTGCACGTTCTGCTTCTCGGCTGCCCAACATTAACCAGTTTGGACCCCGGGTGCAGACATGGCACTGCTTGGCAAAAGCCATGCTGTGGTAGGGGTCCCACGTATAAAGTAGAGGAAGATGGGCATGGATGTTAGCTCAGGGCCAGTCTTCCTTAGCAAAAAGAGGAGGATTGGCAGTAGTTAGCTCAGGGCTAATCTTCCTCAAAAAAAAAAAAAAGCAGTTCTTTGAAATGATTTGAGGAGGTATGATATTATACTAGAAAGCTTGGGCTTTTGGGTCAAAGATAGATATCTGTGTGATCTTCAGCAAGTTACATTTTCTAAGCCTCAGTTTCCTTATCTGTAAAATGGTGATGATAGTTGTACCTGCCTGACCCCATAGTGTGAGGATTGAATGAAATAACGTGTAGCCTAAAACCTGGTCCATAGAAAGGGCTAAATATTAGCTCTTTTAATAATAACTATTGCTATTTAAGGTCAAATAGTGACTGATGTCAAATTTAAATTCCAATCTACAAGACTCTAAAATCTTTGGAGAAGGTGTTGGTATAAAAAGCAAGAGTAAAACAAATGGTCAAGATAAGCTTTTGGATTGATTTGTTGAGAATTATAAATATTCTGTTTCTAATTACCTCACTTAATCACATGTTTGCTGTACTTTTGTACCTTTCTCAGTTTTTCTAAAAAATGTAATAAATATCATCATTTGATCTAACATATTTAGACAATTCCAATACTGGATATATATTTACTCCTTTTTCTCAAAATGTAGGAAACTATTCAGGTATTAGTATTTGGTTTATCAAGAAGCTTCAGCAATCTTCAGATTCACATTATGAAGTGAAGTGAACAAAACTGAGGAATGAATCAACCACTTAAATAATAATAGTAATAGCAATAGTCACCAAAGTAGTAATAGCTAACATATATATCACTGTGACAGGCACAGTTTTTTAATGACTTAACATATAATAGTTCATTTAATTCTCACAGCCTTCTTATGAGATATGTATTGTTTTATCCTCACCATTTTACAGTTGAGGACACTGAGGTACAGAGAGGTTGAGTATCTTGCCAACGTCACAGAGTCAGTAAGGAGGAGAACTGAGATTCACACCAAACAAGGTGGCTCTCGAGTTTGTGCTCTTATGCATTTAGCTATATATTACATAAATCAAATAATTCGAAAATGTTTTCCTTTTCTTTCCCGGCAGGTATCTTCATGTGCTGAGTGATGATACTGGCCCCCAAGTGTCTTGTTACATTACAGCACCAGCATACGTTCTACAACATCTAGAATGCCGGATAATTAATAGCATGAGTTCTTTAATAGTGAGTGATAATGAAGAGTTGGTCAGCAATGTCATCACTGTTGAGTGCTTAGATATGGAAAAGGGAATTCCATTTCCAATATGCATAGCAATTCCTTTTACGGCACGTTACAGGGGAAATTACAGAGACATCATGGTGAAAGTGTCTGATGTAAACCTTCAGACAAGTTACCTAACCCCAAAGGCACTGGAAAGACCACGAGGAAGTTACAAGGTTGGTAAATTCTTGGCTGCATCTGCATTTGTTGTTTGACTCCTCTTCTAAATATTACTCAAACTACCAGATTTTAGTGTAGATAGAACCGCTCCTTTGGTAACAAATGGAAAGGTTGGCAAGATGTATGCCAGTGAATTCGTGCTTTTTTGGCCATCCATAAAAATCAAAGAGCGGAAGTTATTGCCCAAAGTTGGGAATGAAGAACTAGAGTCTAGGACCCAGCAAATGTTGTATTTTCACCTGAGAAACAAAACCAAAATCATGGCTTAATTAGCTTCATGCCTTACACTAGTTTTAGACTAACATTTCTAATGTGATGGATCTCTGTCTAAATTTAAGAATGTTGAATCCCTAGATGGTAGTAGCTTTATTTTTATCATTCATGGGTTGGAGAAATATGTTAAAAATGAACAATTGTGTGTGTGTGTGTATGTCTTTTAGATAGTTATTAAGTCCATAAATGGTGTTTAGTCTATACATGGTAGACAGTATATGTGGTAGTTAAGATGTGGGTTGTGGAGGAAGATTGGTTGGGTTTGAAATCTGGTTCCTACACTTCCTTGCTGTGCGAACTTGAGTAAATTATGTAATCTTGCTATGACTCAATTTCTTCATCTAAAAAATGAACACAATAATAGTGTTTACCTGATAGGATCATAAGGATTAAGTGAGAAAATACACTTAAGAAGATAAAATGAAGCCTGTAAACACACGTTAGTAGTTACTAAATTGTCATTTTTTATGGTAGACTCTATTGTAATAACTCTGAGGCCCTCTAGGGTCCCAAATTCGTATGTTTTAAAGAGAGAATATACATAATTATTAAACTTAGCATTAAGTTTATGGGAACTAAAGTTTAAGGTTCTTCTGTGGGCCACTGAACTTATTTTTAAACAATTAAAATATTTGTCGTTTCAGCTATTTATGTAAGTTGTCATGGTTTGAAGAGGAGAGCAGGGAATAAATGCAAAAACAATTCCATTAATGTAAGAAATTCTTTATAGTACATCTCTCCTTTTACTGATTTGGGTCTTTTCTGAGTTTCAGACAAGGTTATATAGTTGGTATGAAAGCTAAGCCTGTTCTAATTATTTACTCCAATTCAGGCAACTGATACATTTTATATTTAGTCTAGGAAGCCCGTAAGTATAGTAGTCTGGTCAGTATTGCCCTTGATTGTAGCTTTTTCATCTTGACCAGTCTGTGTGACTGTCATAATAAAAACAAAAACTGCTCACAGCACATGTACTTTTCACAAAATGGGCATGAAAAATGCTTAGTAAATGGATAGTCAAAGCAAAAGAAAAAAAATTAAGGGAACCATTGTCTACTGGAAAGAATAAAAGCATATAATTTTCTTTTTACAGTTTTCTAATGGTAGTTATTCCTATTTTTAGATCAACAAAATTTAAACTCTGAATTCTTTTCAAATTTTTATGTGGTTCATACAGCATTTGAGAATTCTAATTCTGGAGTCAGATAAAGCATCGTCAGAGTTTTGTTCATGACACTCCCTTGCTAAAAAACATTTCCAGTTCCCCAGTAACTGTCAAATGTGCTCTACACTCATGACAACCACCATCAGTTCCCAGAAGATCCTCCTTTCTTACCTCTCACCTTTTTCCCTCCAGCCAATTAAGAACATTCATCGCGTCCTTTATTTTCCCAGTGACGGATATATGCAGTGGTATTGTGAAATCTCTTCCTTAGTCAGTTTTCAAATGACAGATTACTTTCCATTGTGATTGTCCCTGAAATGTTTGTGTGTGTGTCTGCATGATTATCCACTCACGCCGGGGTGGAGTCGGGCTGCTGTTTTTGGAAGCGCGAATAGACCAAATTTCTTCAAAGTCCTGCTCAGTTTAAGCTTTGGTGATTATATAAGTAGATAATTTTGTTTTCATTTACGTACTCAGTTCCTTTTTTGTGTGACAAAAAGGCTTAAATAAGTGCCTGCATATATGCATTACAAATTTACATGTCACTATATAAAAATAGTCTCTTTTTGCAATCATTAGCTCCTGCTGCATGGAAGAGAGAAATAGAAAAAATGACTTTACTGAGAGATTATGAGTTGTCAGAAGGAAGAATTTGCTGACAGTACAGGTGCTGTAGCATTTGTGTAAACTACCCAAATGATGAAATTTCAGTACTTGGAATTCCCTAAAACAGAGTTGAATCTTCTGGATAAAGGCCAATATTTAAAGTCCACTCTGGTAAAGGAGGATAGGATTCCAAAAATAATTAATACTAGTGAAAACACTAAATGTGATTGCCCATTATACATATACATTTTGGGGGGAATTTAATATAAATATAAAACTACATTCTTTCTTTCTTTTCTATCGTGTGGTCCAAATTTGAGAAACTCCTAGTATCTATTCATACTTCATCTCATGAAAAGACCATTCATTTGGGGTTAATGAAATCATCCTCAATTGTGGGAGATTGCAGAGACAACATACACATTTTTTTTTCACAGTCGCAGGGTATGTACAGCACGTATTTCCAGAACAGTGCTGTGTTAATGTCCTTTGATGTCCTTGTCTTAATGTCCTTCAATCCTTACAGGGGATCTGTGCTGAAGTGAAAGTTTACAAGTTGGGTATCTTTTCTGTTGTGTCTTGTTTAAAGAAAGAGTCCTTCACAATAACAAAGAAAGGCCTTACTCTTAAGCCAAGCATGGATTCTCGAATATCCTTAAATTACCCTCCAGGAGTGTTCAACTCGCCAGTGCTTGTACAGTTAAAGGTAAATATTAGAAACTGGTGAGTTCCTTCTCACAGGAAGGAACTGTAAGATCTGTGAGATCTTGTGGGTCATCAAACATAGTCCTAAAAGGTGAAGAAGATAGAGATATTTAATATAACAGTAGATGAATTCATCTCCTACAATTTTAATGACCTAACATATAGTGTTATTAGTAATGAAGTGATGTTTTGGAGGATATTGAATCTCATCCCAAAATAAGTCCCTGCTTTATTTGAAAGGGTTTCCTAGCTAATATTTTGTGTTGTTTTATTTATGATGCTTATTGACAAAAACATATGTTGAGTATCTGTGATAGAATTGATGCCAGACATTGGGAGATTCACATGATTGGTGATTCTACCAGAAAGGATGGTAAAAAAGGGTACTTAATTAAAATATTTATGATTATGAATATTTGGTTATACTAAGTTATAAAACAGCCATTTTTAGAACAAGGATTTAACATATACAAACACTATTTGCAAGGTGTGTAATGATGTATCAATGCACATTTTAGAAGACAGACTTCCTCCACATTCCCTGTCCTTCTAGCTTCAACTCTCCCCCATGCTCTCCGATTTCTTCTAGTTGTTACCATAAATGGTAAGCAAGGAAGAAAAGTGAGGAAGAAATGTTAGGAAGACAACATATTGTGAATAATTTATTCATAAATATTTTCCATAAACTTTGAAATATTGGAATCATGCTAGTTATTTTTATTAGTCATTCTTATGTAAGAGGAAACAAATAAATATAGTCTTGTTTCTCTAATTTCTGAAGATCACTTGATCTAACAATAGTTCTAATTAGAAATTATGTAAAACGTCTATTTTGTTTTCTAGGTCATTTTGTTGCCTACAATTAAGAGCGTTTCTCAGTTATTTATAACATAGGACAGGGAACCTAGATTTCAGAAAGACTTTGTAAGAAGGAGACCAAATGCTGTGCTCTATTTTATAAATTAATGCAGTGCTGACGCCAGTAAATAATGCATACAGAAATCAATGGATCTATGTTCCATCAGATATTCAGAAAATTGGCTTAGAAATGTGCTGATACTTTGAATCTTTTGCTATTAAAATATAGGAATATATACATTTTTTTCTTTGTTTAGGTCCAACCAGTTGACCCCTCTCTGGTGGCATATTTAAAAACACAGCAAGATACTTCCTACCTGGTACTATGCACAAGTCCTCTGATTCATGTTCAGCACCCATCAACACACCCTTTTCAGGAGCCAGTCACTGTATTCCTACCTTGTTCTTCACAGCCTGATAAAAAGAATCTTAGCTCTGAGATAGAGCCTAAAAGAACAGCTAGTGCCACAACAAACAAGATTATACCTTTATACCTCAACAGGTGAGTTAGATCTTAATATCTCTAACTGACTTGATGGTAAACAAGGAAACTTAAAGGATTAAAAAAGGTAATCAGATGTCTTGTATTTAAACATAAGCATTGAAATATTATGAAATATTTTTAATATAGAAATAAAATATTGTGGATCTACAAAGGGAAATAATTTTAGCTGTAATGGGCCCAAAATTACGCTGTGTGATAAGATCGATAAAAAGAGGTAAAATGAATCCTTGCTTTCAAAGAATTTATAATATGGTTAATTACAAAGATGTGATATGGTGATTTTAATTAATTTATTTGAGTGTTCTGTTAATAGAGGAAAAAGATTAACCTGACCTTTCCCAAAACAAATTAAGTTTGAATCTATATTTGCCATATAGATGGATTCCTTCCTTTCCTAATTTTTATAATTTAACAAAATCTTCACCAATAAGACAATTATACATATCAAGTTACCAGCCAGAAATGAAATTGGAGATGAAATGCCAACAACAAATAGGGTGCACTGAATAATAGTAATCCTGAGCTTAACTTCTGTACTTTCATTTAGTACTTTTCCTAATGAAAAAGGTAGAAGGGAATTTTCTATTCGTTGATTCTGAAGGGAAACTTTTTTTCTTTGAAAAACTAGAAGAGGAAGAAACTAGTTCAGACACTTAATTGAAATAATAACTACTGTTAATTGAAAAGTTTAATGTGCCAGTTTCCTCATGTATATTATTTCATCCAATCTTCCTATCACTTTATCTTCGTTGTATCAGTGAGAAGACTGAAACTCAATGAGACTAAGAACTTTTGCAAGTACCTATACCTACCAACTGGTGCAGCCTTGGTGTAGACTCACACGTCTCTGTTTCTAATCGTGACTCTACCTACCATCATTATTTAGTTTGAGGTTGCAAGACTAGAGATTGAGAAGTGGATTATTTTTTCTTTCCCACTATGTTTGCAATTTAGAGGGCTGGAAATAGTAGAAAGTTGGGTTGTAGCTGGGAGAAGAAATCAAACTTTCTCTAGTGTTAGATCAATAGAGAGAAGATAGAAATATAGACATGATCCGGTTATATATACTTTCGCTACTTGGATACATATATATATCTCAAGTGGCAATTTAGTTAATCCATGTTCTTATATATCATGGTAAAGTAAGATTTAAAACCAGAAATGTACTGGAGATTCCAATTTAAAATGTATCAGTCTGATAGATTAAGACATTCTCTTTAAATATCCCCTAAGATACCTATATATATATTTAAAGATAAGAACTTAACCCTAAAAATTGATTCTGACTGGTAACCTGTGGTTAGAATCTAGTATTTCTACTGTCTATAGAGTGGATGGCAAAAGATTAATGAAAATAATTTGTGACTGACATGTACTTTATATCATAAAACAAAGCAGCGGTATTTGCCAGAAAGATGATAGAAAAAACTATTTGGCTATTCCCGATTGTGTAACTGATAGTCTACGTACACCGATGAGAATATAAATTTATCCCTGTAATGTACAAATATCATTTTTGGAAGTGATTGGATCAGTGTTCCTTTGCCCCTCCTTTGTTATATTTCCACATACCTCAGACACAGAGCAGAATGTAGAGAGAAATTGGAGGCAGCATATTGCATTGCCAAAAATGAAATTCCCACAACCCTAGGGGTAAAGGTAGGTGCAATAAGAGCCCTAACAGAAATGCATACTGAGGCTGGCACATTTTCATACTCTCAGTCGATTCAAAGCATTGGAAATCCAGTTAGCACAGGTAGGAGAGGGTTACACCTTAGTCCAGAGGCATTTATACCTGGTAAAAATGACTGGACACTGAAAATTTGTTTAGAAGTGATGCATGCGGATCTGCCCTCCAAATATGTGAAAGAGATTCAAATGGCTACCAAACTGAAACTGGGTAAATGACATTGATTCAAGGACAAGAAAAAACAAAATCCTACATGGTATCTTAAGGAAAAAATCAATACCAAACAATACCAAGATTTCAGAAGAAGAATGAAAGCAACAAAAAAACAAGCTATAGAAATGAGGAAAAAGAACATCATCTTGACATTTCACAGAAATTTGAATAATGAGAATTATGGTTATCCAGAACATATTACAGAAATCTATTTTGTAGGTTTAGTAGTAGGCATAATTTCCAAGAAACAGAAAGTCATCAGGACAGACCAGGAAAAGATGAAAGAACAAGAGGATGAGATACAAGATAATAGCTAAGATGGAAATCAATCAAGGCATGATAAGGAATCTTTTGAAGTGATGTAACCCAATAATTATAGTACCATTAAAGAAGATACCAACACAAAGACGTAATAATCAAAGGCGCCGTTGAATTTAATTTTCTGATGTTGATTAAAACCTTGATTTAGAAAGTGCTGATTGATTATGACACAAAATTTACGAGAAAAATCCCATACTTAGACATAACATGGCAAATTGAAATGCAAGTTTAACTAAAATATAATTTTATAAGCATCCACTCAGCAGAAACAGATTAAGTAAAAAGGAGTAAAATTAGTCTAGCCTCAGTCTCATTCTTCTCAGCACGAAATATCAGGAAAAAATGGACAAATTCCTTCACAGTTTTGAAGGGAAGATGTTGTGAAGTCAGAGTTTTAACCCAACAAAGTTTTTTTTCTTAATACAAGAGGTCATAAAGTGTACTACTCACATGTTATTAACAAAATAGATAAATAGATAAAATTAATGAGCTGACTGGATAAAGTGAAATTTAAGAAATCAAGAATAGAAGTCTTTTTTATTTTTAAAAACCTAGTATTGAACATAAATAATATAAAAGCAAAAGGAAAAAGAAAAAGTGAAAAAAGTTCATATAGCAAAGAGATAGAAAGAAAACAGCATGGTGACATTAAAGAGAAAACTTTAGATAATATAAATAAAATCATCAATTGTGACAATAAATAGAAATGGGTTAAACATAATTTATACTGTTGTCTATCTTAATCTTTAATATTTTTAATACTTCATAGGCTGTATTTAGGATGATTTCCTTGGATTTATCATATATTTTACCAATTTTCCCATCAGTGTTTAAATTGCTCATTTTAATTGTTATTCTCATTTCTAAAAGGCTATGACTACATTTTAAAATTTTTTTCCAGGCAGCTTCATTTTTTCTTTAGGTTTTCTATTTCTTCCTTTATTCCTTTAATAATTGTAAACATACTCATTTTATGGTCTCATTCAGATTATTCCATCTTCTATTAGTGTGGTGTTTCCCATCGTATCTCCTAGCATACTGTAATCTAGTACATTGTCTATCACGTTAATTCCATTCTATGAATCTTCCCCTTTGAAATTCATTTCCAAGTATTGATTATAATTTTTGATCAGATCAACTTTTGTTCTCCCCTGCTCTCCCACCCAAAGCAGCTATTGTGTGCTTCTTTGTTGTTTCTTGAGCCAATGTTCAAAGAGATTTTGATTGTTTTTGTTGTTTCCCCTTTCTGGGCTAATGCTGCCCTTTTGGGATTCCAGTTTTATAACTGAGTTAGTTCCAGCTAATGGCTAGAGCCTGTATCTGATGTCCCCGAGTACATGTTAAAATGCAGCCCCCACACACCTAGTTTGTGTGCATGGCCAGTGGGACGGGGGCAGGCTGATGAGGGTGGAAAAATGTCATTTCTCCCTAATGCTATTGGTTTTAAGATTATCTTACGCAAATGTAATATGTGAGTGATACACAAGAATATTTGTGAAATATGTGTGTTTTATCACACACTAATAAAATGGGCAAATTGGTAAAGCTACCACATAACTTAAGAAATTGGATATTATCAATACAATTGCATCTCCTTACTTGCCCCTCACTGTCCCATCCCCTCTCCCTACCACAACTGCTCCTCGTCCTTCCGAAGTTAACCAGTATTTGGAAATTTCGAATTATTCCTTTGCTTTTATTTACTTTTTTTTTTTTTTGAGGAAGATTAGCCCTGAGCTAACATCTGCTGCCAATCCTCCTCTTTTTGCTGAGGAAGACTGGCCCTGAGCTAACATCCATGCCCATCTTCCTCTACTTTATATGTGGGATGCCTACCATAGCATGGCTTGTGGAGTGATGCCATGTACATACCCGGGATCCACACTGGCGGACCCCAGGCTGCTTAAGCGGAACGTGCGCACTTAATGGCTGCACCACCAGCCGGCTCCTTTTATTCACTTTTTAGTTTTGTCGTATATATTTTTATTCATCCCTATACAATGTGTTGTTTGGCTTTGTCTGTGTTTGAGGTTTGTAAAAATGCTATCCTACTGTGTATATTCTGATGGTCTTGCTTTTTCATTTATAGTTGTGTATGTTCATTCTCACTGCTATGTAATATTCTATTAAATAACTATGTATTTTATTTATCCATTTTCCTATTGATGGCCATTTGGGTTGTTTTCAATTTTTTGCTATAATAGTACTAATGTGGGCTTGGTGAACCAAGGAGTCGAAAGAAAGATTTCTTGGATTCTCAAGGTCTGGTAGTAGTGCTCCTTTATTCAGGGAATAGCATGGGGACAGGACCCATGGGCAGTGAAGAGCTGCAATGTGTTGAGGGCAGGGCTAAATTTATAAGGCATAGGTATGTCAGTTATTTCTTTACAAGACAAAGGAAAGATTATGTGAAAAAGTCGTTAAAATGGTATCAGTGCAGGTAGGGTCTAGTTATTGAGTGGTCCTATAACTTTGGATATGAATCAGGCCCGATCAGGTCAGGACATCCTATACTTCCAGGAAGATGATGTAGATTGGTGTGTAGGGCAGGACGCCTGGGGCGTCTCTCCCTGGGGCAGCCTTGATCTTCATCAGCACTATTATCACTATTCTTGACTCAAAGAATATTTGTGCAAGTACTTCTTCAGGGTATGTACCTAGAAATCGAATTGATGAGTAGTAGGATATGCACATATACGGTTTACAAGTTTAACAAAATGGTAGAACTAAACTACAATCTCCCACTCTTGCTTCTCATCTTCTCCAGTCTTGC